GCCGGGAGGCCAACAACAACCCATAGATCACAACCAAGGCCATAAAAAGATGGAGTTGTTTGGCCACATGGATATGACCTACGTCTGGAGGAAGAAAGAAGCCTAGTTAGGTCGATACGTAAACACGTCTGATTGGGAAGTGAAGAAAAACATAGGGGAAACTCGACAGCAAATCTAAAACCTTCACTCCTTTCTCCACCACAGCCCACTTTTGAAAACTTCAGCAAGATTTCGAATTCTTTGTTTCGAGCCTTCAAAATCGCTTCAAAACGTAAACAAACTTTCTCTTACGGAAGGAGCTTTTCACAAAACTCACTAGTCTTGACCACTCTGGTTATATTTCTCAATCTCATTTTCACAAACACGTCAGGAAAGGTTTTACTATGAAAACATTTCTGGGCAGGTATTTTTAGTTCCCAAAAAAAGAAAATAAGACATAAATTTCATGAAACGAAGCAGCTGCCAGCCTGGTACGAATTCTTTTGGCCCTTATTACGAGTACAAATGGGTCATTCCATGAGGCTGGGGCACAAGTTGTGACGGTGTCCACTGTTATGGGGGTTCCATAAAAATGAAAAAGCTATTGCCTTGCATGTGGATTCCAAATTGACATTGTTGTAGATCTTGCATAACAGAGGTGTATTTTTACAGAGAAAATGACCTACTCTACGTCATGACAGGTGGTAAAAATTACAAATTGTGCCCCAACCTCATGGAATGACACAAATAATTATCCCTGAAGCATACATGCCCCAATGCCTTGATCTTTTCAGAGTTGAAACGCCATAGGTGAACTGAACAGGAAGGTACGCGTTTCCGGCCAAAAGAAGGCACAACCACGCGCCTAGCTTGAATGGTTATATTAACCTCTTTTTCCTTAGAAAATAAATGCATACTTCCTATTCAACACTTTGTGTCTCTCACAAAACTCCCCTATTTCACGTTCAGTATCCCAAGGCGTGTGCAGTAATGACATTGGACCACCGGCGAACGGAGACCACACCATCAACAACCCGCGTTCACTGTCTTACAATCTCAACAACTTCAAGTTCTTCAGGACTCGTGTGGATTTCTCCTGTGACGTTGGATATACTCTTCATGGAGCCTCGTCCATTGAATGCATAGACACGGGCTACAACAACGTCACGTGGAGTGATGCCGTACCGACCTGTCAAGGTGGCTTGGGTATGCAAAACCTTATGTGTAATGAAGAAACGTGTTAGCAGTTTTATGACTTTTATGAAGTCTACGAAAAAGAGTTGGATAAACCATACTGTCATCGTTCTAGATAACTTTTACTTTTGAAACGGCAACCCCGGATCCGGAACACAACACAGAAATGAAATAAAAGCAAAACGGATTCAAGTGCTTCGTAATACCTTATTAACTCAATTCACCTTCCACTCATTCTCTACGTTAATTTATGTACATGTACAATCCTTTATCAATACTGACTCTTTCCTTAAAAAAACGGCAATGTCACAGTCCAATGGTTTTCCAAGGTTTGTCTAGCTGTGAGCACCTCAAGGGCCAAGTAACTCAGCTGCAGTAGCAGCAAACCCAGGTTTCTGGTCTTGTCAAACTGCTCCATCTCAGGTTCTGGATCTCCAGTCGGTCCGCAGATCCGACTTCATAATTATGGAAGGCCACTTAAAAGGCATAACATTCAAAACCTTTCAAATTCTCTTATCGTACATTACCATCGACGAACTAATTTCTATGTTTTACTTTTAAACTCGGTCAATTTAACTCAAATCTCTACTCTAAATCAGTTTACTGGTAATTTGGCCTGGTTTGCCGAATTCTGGTGCTGGGACAAAGTAGCCTATACCTAGTATCTAGAACTGACCGAAGACCTAATCTTCTGAATCTAGATTTCTGTCTTTACAGTTGAAGCCGGTCTCAAACATGCTCTGAGGATTTCTCTCGATCTTCACTCTGCCAAGTCCAAAATGTCTTCTCACTCTCCTTATCTCTATCTCGGCAAGCTACCTTCTCATTCTTCTGATACACTACAATGAATAAAAGCAGGCGCAAACGTACACTAAAGCTTAACCGGGTGGATATATTGTCGGGCAATTAGGACCTACTTGTTCTTTAACTACCGTGGCCTGTTCACAAAACGTTCTTGCGTAAGCCGGAAGGCGTTTTTCCGCTCGAGTACTCCAAAATCGTAAGTGGCTGAGACATTTACGCGGCAACCGATTTGACACATGATTGGATAAAAACTTTTTGGACCATTCCATTTATTACACAGGTTGCAAAGAGATTTAAAAAACGAAACAAATGATACATGATACACGCGTAAAAATTAAAACGATTAGTTCTACGGTTACACTGTGATATATACCAACAACTAAAGTGTAGTTGCAGTTGATTTCCTTCGACATTACAACAACTTTTTTCTTTAACTTAGGAAACAGTCTGACATCCCTACTGGATTAAATGCATTAATGACATTGCTTTCTTGGAACTTGAGAGGGGGCGCTGTTGCTGTGAAGTCATCTAGGGAAGACATGGTTCAGTGCATACATTTCTCTGTTCGAATTGTGAACCCAGAATATACTCACTGCAAACAATTCCGAGAAAGTGATAGTTACTTGTTGAATTCTATGCACTAACAATGAATCATTTCAGACGTGAAAACGGCAACAAAATCTTCATTTCAATGCAAGGACATTTTGTGTACAAACCAATGGTACTTTTCAGTTTGGTTCATGAATATGGAAATATTCATGAGCACAAAACCAAAAGGTAGCATATAAAATAGTGAAACCAGAATGGAAAATGAAGTTAAATATTAGACTCAATGGTCCAGTTTAGATGTCTGTATTAAAATCCTTCGACGGTGGCTAAAACGTTTTTCCATTGCAGCTGCCCTTCATGATTTAGTCAATAATAACACTGTTACGTCAAATCACGCAGAGAGCAACACGATTGGAACTACCAAAACAAACAAACCTACCGAAACAGCTGGAACTGAAAGTGGAAATGGTAAGTGGGTAGACAACCTAAATAATTAATGAACGGGTAAGACTGATTTCCAAACAAATATACATAGTCCATTTGTGATGTCTTGCTTCCATGAAATGTGTCTCGTCTACGACACTGGTACCATCGAAAATAACTGCAACTGGACAGGCTTGAAGAAATTACACGACCAGTCAGGAGGGCGTCAGTAAAATGCCAACAACTAAAATCTGCTTGGGTCGTACAGATGCTTGTATGAAGCCCACATTTAGTACCGGCTTTGTCAAGAAAAACCACAAACACCATCACACCACACAAACGCTCATTTGTTGATTTCTAAGATACCGTCACTGCAATTCAGTTCCGATAATGGAATAGTAAATTCTGGTGGCACCAAAAGCACACCAAACAGTTACGAACGGCAATTTCTCGTGCAGAACGATGGAATGCTGGTGTGGTAGTCGGACCGTTGGTGGCGGGCTTCTTTATCACTGGACTGATAGCACTGGCTCTATTAATACTTCTGAGGCGGCGTAAACGCCAGCTGGTCCGAAATGAGAGGTGAGACACAGGTGTCACTATAGAGATATTGCTTTCATGCAAAGAGGCTAAACTCACTACAAGGCCAAGGATTTCCACTTACTTGAAAAACAATGTGTAATCCTACCATAATTTAATGTTTATCATCCTATCTACCTAAAGGCAGTTATTTTTCTCCGAGCCACACCCTCAAGGTAGCCCATCTAGTTAATGGGTTATGCTTTTTATCCTTTTCTTCCTAGCATACCCGAGTTACGCAACAACCAGTCAAGATCGTTGGCAAGAAATAGATCGGGTTCTTCAACAGAAGCGAAAAAAGAACTTCCAGGTAAAAATTCAAACAACATTGTCGTCGGAATATAAAGAAGACATGGATTGGTAAATAATTATATTTGTGATAAGCCACATATATAAGCACTGTCATCAAAACAAGCTAGGAATATGAGGGGAGATCGGAAACTAACCTAAAGGTGGTTTTTCTGCAAACGTTAGCTGCCCTTACAAAATGCGGGTAAAATTAAGAGTAGTCTATAAACAATTATGACCTTGAGTGCAATCAATTTGGAGCGAGAGATGTAATACACAGTGAGAATTAGTTTTGTTGGTTTTTAAACAGCTATTCCGTTGACCACAGTCGTCACATCGCCAGCGAATGATGTCTGTCCTGAGTACGAGAACAAACCTGTACAGCTGCCATACGGTAATATTGGCCCCAATCTCTCGTTTTCCCGAGATCTCGTGGAAATAGGGAAGGAGGTTGGTCGAGGTGTCTTTGGGAGAGTGCTGCTTGGCACAGTTCTTGGGATCGAAGGAGTTGGTAAACGAAGTAAAGTGGCAATCAAAACAATCAAAGGTAAATTACTGTTTGTCATCTGCGATTCTACACAAGAAACGTAACTAAAAGGAGTATTACACACTTCCAAACTGAATTTAAATCCAGCAGGTGCCATTCTCCATGGATTTTTTTAAAACTCAACATTGCCAACCTTACAGCCTGAAAAGACAGAAATATCACGTTAGGATAAATCTATCAATTCATGCAGCATGGAGATCACAACAGCATAATATCCCACACCTGCACGCACTTTAAGTTCAGTTTTACACACGTTATCAAGTTTACATTTTACACGACTTGATATTTCTTTTCCAACCGACAGAGGGCGCTGACAGACAGGCCAAAGTAGAGTTACTCAAGGAGCTAGATGTAATGAAAAAGATTGGTTTTCACCCAAACATTGTCAGGTTGCTTGGCTATTGCATAGAGACAGGTAGGGCTCAAAGCAAAGTTTACATTATTGAACACAGATAAGTCAAATTCTACAATTAAAATGGATCATTTCTTCGAATACTGCGCAATGTAGAATTTACGGCATAAGAACGCTCAGGAATTTCAAGAGACTACTGAAAGATTGTCTAGTAATACTCTCAGATTTCACCTTTACCACAAAAATGCATTGTGCCTGCAGTGAAAGATTGAAATAATGGAATTTTGCAAGATATCGTGGTCGATTTTGTGTACTTTAATAAAGATCCTATTTATATCATCGTGGAGTATCTTGGCAAGGGAGACCTCAAGAAAGTTCTGGTGGGATACAGGACTACAGACACTGGTAGCGATTATACCAATATCTCTGGCCCGAGTCGCTCACTCTCACTGAGATTGCTCAAATTTGCCCGGGACGTGGCCGATGGAATGACATACTTGGCCTCACAAAAGGTAGGTGTCTTTCAACACAAGTTTTAGAAATTAGATAGAAAATTGGAATACGGTAAAAAATAACCATGTTTGGTGTAGCGTAGGCCTCTCAAAATCTTCAAACACACATACAAAATACTGGTCATCGTTTTTGTTAATCGCGAAAGCCATAAAATCACAGGCTCTAAGATACGGTAAGATAAGACAAGCTTTATTAAAATCCAAAACCTCGAAAATTACATTGCTGTCGTCGCTCATTTAAATAAACAATTTCACGTAAACGTAAACAAAAATAAATAAGATAATACCCAACCCAGTTTAAAAGAAACACGCCCAGGAAATGAAAAACTCCAAAAATCTAATTAAAAATTTATTAATCGTACAAAAAACATACACACAAATAAGCCTAACAAAAGACAGTCTCTAGATAGTCTCCAGATTGAAAGATAGTCTCTTAAGCGCCTTCAGTTTCCGTCCCCATTCGGTTGTAGTGCATTCATCGCGACCTGGCTGCCCGTAACGTGCTGGTAGACGACAACATGGTGTGTAAGGTATCTGACTTTGGGCTGGCCCGTGACGTCATCAATATCAGAGTCTACCAGAGAGAATCAAAGGTATGATTTCTCTTTCACTTTTTAAAGAGCAAAATATTTCCAATATGAAAAAAAGAAATATGACAGTTCAATTCAATTGTCAATTCTGTCTAATTCTGTTGATAGGGTCCACTGCCCATGCGCTGGATGGCATTGGAATCCCTACTCGATGACGTGTACACAATCCAGAGTGACGTATGGTCTTTTGGCATTCTGATGTGGGAAATCGTCACACTTGGTGAGATCATTGAGCAGAATACACCAGTTCCTGACTGGACACGGACAATTCCATTTTCAGATATTTTGAATGTTGTGACGTTAGCTTGATCTTTATACTCGTCTTAAAGTTTATCAAATGATTTAAATACTGTCAGACAATAACACACCTTTAAATGTAAATGTATGTTCGTGGCAGGTGCTCGGCCGTACCCACACATTATGACTGCAAAAGACATGGTGCACCAGCTAAGGGGAGGCTACCGCATGGCTAAACCAACAAACTGCAAGAAGGAACTGTAAGCACAACGGACTCGGTCCGCATAGTTTAAGTCACATTCACCACGAGACCCTACAAAATAATAATATATTTTACTGTCCTTACACTGCAGTCTCCTGTGATAAGACGCGAAGGACTGCATGATAGATAATATATAAAATGGAGGTTAAGACATAGCGCACCTTTTGAAACATTGAGTTGATAGGCTGGTGTGGCATTAGGTTTGGACAGAGTGCAATATGGGCGACTTTGCCGCTCTGCGCATGACTTCGACAATGACGCCTGACAAGGATCAGATTTCATGGGAATCGAAAATTTTATAGGGTTATAGATCAGTGTAATTTTTATACACCTTGGTCATGATTCGGGAGACCGTTTCAAATGCAGTACATAATTTCTATAAACGTTTTCCACAGATATTCCATCATGCGGAGTTGCTGGTACGCTAACCCGCAGTCAAGACCAACGTTTCAAGAAATTCTGGAGAAGATAGAGGGATTGTTGGGTCAAGAAATGGTAAATAAAATGAGAGACACTTCGTACAGTTTGAACTAATCACTGACCGAGAATAGAACAGTCAGAAAAAGTGTTAGTGCTAACCGCATTTATTGTCCCAAATTACGTATCTGTACAGAGTACCAGTGCTTCAATCGTGTTTAATTCCATTCAACAATGGTCTGTGATTTCATACAGGATTACATCACTGTAAACCACATTGACGAAAGAATCTACGAAGTTCCAAGCATAATGGACGAGAAGGAGAAATTGTGAAACAAACAGGCTTAATGGAAAGGCATCTCATGAAAAGCAAGAGCTTGAATCAAACAATAGTGTAGAATTTAATTACTATGAACGAGATGAATGCATTCATATATCAAGGACACAGTCTTGAGAAACAGAGACAGGCGCAGAAGGTGTGTAACTTGCTGACTTTGACCACTAACTCATTGATGATGTTATGATTAAGTGAAAGGTCTGCTGTAATGGTTAATTCTGTTTCGGACTTGCTTTTCGTGAAGAAGTGTCATTATCTTATATATTGCTATAACCTACTATCCAGTTTTATGCTGAAGGTGGAATTGGATGAGTGTCCATATCAGATGACCTTACAATCTCTTGTTATCCTTGCTTTGCCATCCGACCGAATCAAATGAGTCATGTTTATTATCATTAATAGCATATGTTAAAGCATGCAATTTGCCTTGAATAATTTGAAAATTTCACATCATTGGCTGTAGCTGTTGTAGTGTGATTTTAAACTTCATATACTAGCGGGTTGTATTGCACCTGCCTACCGTACCTGGGAATGTAGAATTTATGACTCGCTCTGTGAAAATGAGTCATAAGGCAAGAAGCCTCTTTTTGAGTTTTACTTTGTATTAGATAGAGGAATTTGAGTATTTTCTTTTGATGTGTCGCTCAGTTTGGCATGATGAAAATGGACGTTGTGTAGATTCTAAAAAGTAGAGGATTCCTACTGCTTAAGCACTGTGCCAGATTCTTTTAAAGGTCTTTCATTCAAAAGTAGCTCTGGAGACATGTGACTCACTTTCACAGAGCGGGTCACATTTGTGAAATGTCAAGTGTGATGAACAGAAGCCACAGACGTAAAAAACAAGAAACCAGACTTTGCGGGAGCCTAGACTGCATTGCACACCTGTAATATTAAGCCCTGCTCTTTATGGAGAGCGAAAACGGCAGTGTCCACACGTTACAGACGTATTTCATGTTAGGCCTGTAATTATATTATATGTATAATAAGCATACGTTATTAGCAAGGGTGAATGGAAGGGGCCAACGAGGGATTTCGAGTCGTTTAAGTGCATTTTTAACAAAATATTATTGTTTATCCTACACTCTTAAAGCGTGTGGAAAGTCCCCAAATTTTGATAATTTGATAATTTTGAAAGAGTTTGCTATTCTGGGAGAGTCTGGATCCCTAGACAGCTGACAAATCCAACACGTACTACTTCCATACCACCTGGTTATCATGAACCTTTCAACGCCATGCAGGACAGTATCATACAAACATTCGCGCAACCTTTGAACATGACTGGACTGATGTACTTGTATATCACAGTAAAAATAAACAAAAAACACCATAAAACACATAGAACACAAAAGAAAACAAAGCCAAACCGCAATCAACAGGACAGGGTTCTGTTGATGAGCAATAGCATTTTGAAAAGATAGTTTGGTGCCATGCTGTGATAGCCTTGAGCTACTGATCTCGATGTTGACACGATATAAACAAGATTTTAAATCATTCACATGAACTTGGATGAGGTCAACACGACTATCATAAAACCAAAATCAGTGGCGTAAATTTTGTGCTCGATTTTTGAGGGAGTTGAAGTAAATAGGGAATCGTGTATGGTGCGACACCATACGACACTGTATAGGGGGCAGTGTTCACGATAAAGATGTATATCTGTGATATGTATTGAATTTTTGCAGAATCTTACACTAGAATGACATCTTTATGGCTTTTTGTTGTTCTCCTTTTTGAGTGATATAGAACAAAGCTTGGTTGTTGGGAGATCCTTAAAATTCTTCACTTGAATTTGCTTCAATTTTTCTCACCACGGGATTTAATCTCCCAGTCGAAAAGTAGGGGGTATATAGGCTAGCCAGGAATTTACGCCCACGATGATTCAATGGCCATTGAATAATTTCATGTTAAAATGGTATGGATTGGAATGATAATAAAGACGCAGCATCTTGATTAGGAATCACCGGTGACAACATTTCCTTCCTGTTCGATGATTTTTTTTTCTGTTACCTTGTGCGATAGCCTTTAAGCTGTGGTTAACCATTCATTGATATGTTAACCATCAACAACGTATTCGTCCAGGATTGTATTCTTAGATTATGACGTCATTACCTATCTACTCAATAACATCACGCTCAATAACACCAGAATAAAAGACGAGAAAGGCATAGTACCGATTAGTCTGTTTTAAAAAGCTGACTACTTGTTTAGTTTTTAGAAACGTTTTTGAACCTGTTTTCCCCAAAACGTTTCGTCTGTTCTGACGCTGAATGAGTTTGGAGATGATTCCGCGTTATTGGCCGTGAAAACCATGTGTTTTGCGACATTCGAGGAAATCGATAATTTACTCCGATAGTGAGTATCGCTCTTTTGAATAAAAATCGATTTGTGTATATATGCGGGGAATTCCATATAATCATATCGTATATATAACAATGTCGCAACACAAGTTTCTGTCGTCAGGTAGCAAACGCAGAAACGACATATCGCCATTTCAGAACGTGCAGTCTCGAGCATAACCATATCACATAAATCCCCAGAATCACACGGTTATATACTGCTGGACAGGATCACGATTGATACTGGAGAAACAGGTGGTCGCCAGGGGACCGCACGACCCGAGACATCAACGGTGAGACAACAGGAGAGAAAGAAGGCAGGTGGGAGAGGAAAACAAGAACGCCATAGGTAAAGGAACTAAGGCAGGACTAGTGTCGCAACATGGCCAGGGAAATGCTAGGGTAAGTGTATTGGTCAGACTTTGATACGGCGAAATTTTACCATGAAGTTGCGAGGATCGGTTCCCTTCAAAAGTCCGCAAGCATACTTCTTCGAAAACAAAAATTCCTTTAACTTTGAAAACTTAAAACTTAAAGAACGCTGAGACAGTGTAAGTCACAGCCGTTCTGCGCAAACCCCTGCACAAGAAACCACATATTGCAGGCAAAATTGCACAAAACACCACTCTAACCACACCACTCTTCAACAATTACTCATGCCGCTAACTCCATGCCTAACCATTCTAAAAAAAGCTTAGTTCAATCCAACAGAGAAAGCTAGTAAACCTTTCGAAAAGCCCTCAATGCGCTTTTTAGACCGTAAGTGGTCTAGGCAAAATTAAAGCTTGCAGTCATAATCAAGTCACAACGCTCACCCCAAGATTTTTATGACACAATCTATGGACTCCTTATAAATTGACGAAACATTTGTCTTTCAACTCAATTTAGAAATGACTTGAAGAAAGATCTAGCGAAAAATCTGCCCTGGAAAGAGCGACCACATTGCCATTTCACATGGAATCTAAAAATCGGGATTAAAATCGATTGTGATCGAATCATACGCAACATAGATCATGACCTAACAGAGACTCCAAACTTGCTTAGAATCGAAGGTCTTCTGTTTAGAGCGTACTTAGAGGTATGGGACAACCGAAAACGCTGGGACGTTTGCACAGCAAGAGCATTTCTCGACGAATCAGACAAATTGATAAAACAGGCAGATTGTCGTCTTCAGAAAGGCTACAAAGTTGTAGCACTGCTGAATCGCATGTGGATCGAGCACAAATGCCAAAATACCCCGAAAGTCAAAGCTTTGCTCATCCAACTAGACAGTCTAACGCTTGAGGACAGAGACTTTTCTGTAATTGGGGCAGTCCGAGCTACGGCCTTGACACGTCTAGGACCAATCGTTATGGAAACTGCTTTGGAACTGTTTGAGGTGGCGATAAAGAACTTCAAGAAAAAGGTACCGGTAGGCTTTCTCTACGGTGCAGGGCTAGCGACAGGCAGAGTGCATTACAAAACAAGGAAAAAGCTGAAAAACTCTACGAGGACTGCTTGCAACAGTCCGAACACTGGACAACTGAGGACAGGCTTCTGCTTTACATTGACTTTGCCAAGTTTCTCGAGTATACCTCAACAGCTTCGAGACGCGAATCACTGATGGACATGTGGCAGAAAGTAATGGACATTACAGTTTCCTTGGAGTATTTAGACGAGATTTCTGGTGAATGGAAAGTCACCAAGAAGGCAAAGAAAGCAAGACAGAATGCTTATGAAAAGCTTTGTGGCCATTATCAGGACACCGGTCTAAGTATCGAGCTTGGAATTCTTCGTTATCAGAACTTCAAGTTTGAAGAAGCAGAGGAAGTTTTTCTTCAGCTCAATCCCGAAAGTGACTTAAGAATTCCACTCAACCTGTCACTGACATACCTCAAAACGGGTCGCCAAAAAGAACTACAAACTTTGCTTC